GGGGGGGGGAGTTAGATTGGCCTCGGTCCAATTCAGAGTTTGTACCAATTATCCCAGTGACTCCAGACAGAAACAATTAGCGCATGCCGGTTCAGCTCCACACTGAGAGATTTAAAGGGACAATAACGTTTGTGTTTCTTTTCTTCTTTATTTTTCTTTTTTGTTACGCTAAAAAAAAATAGAAAAATAATCTACAGCAACAAAGTTACTTAATGTGGCCCTGGGCCCCGCTCAGAGGAGCAGCTATCATGAATAGTTATCTGGGCCCACCAGGAAAGGGGGCCCCACCATCAGACCCCCGAACAGTTCCCTATTCTGGAGGCATTGCAGATATAAGTGCAGCTGCCTGTGTCTGTAGTCTGCATAGCAGGACCCCTCCTGGATGAGGTAGACAGAATGCGCCCCCAATCCGCCCAAAGGGACCTGTGGGTGGATGGTGGAGCATGAGATACTTGCCCTGGGCCAACCCATTTCTTAAAGGAGAACTATGGAGTCAGGGCTTTTCCCCATAGTTCTCCTTAGGGTAACGGGAGGACACAAACTAGCGTCCTCCCGTTACCCTAAGCTCAGTATATAGGGAGCTAAGGCTCGGGGTATACTGAGACGCCGGAGCAAATCGCGACATCGATGTCGAGATCCGCCCAGCTGCGTGAGTGACAGCTGGCTCTGCTTATCTAGAGGCAGAGCCAGCTGTACCCGCCCCCTCCCCCGTCCGTTCTGCCAGTCAGCGCTGGCGGAGCGGGGAGGGGGGAATCCAGCCCCTCCCCTGTCACAGCAGAGAGACGTGACAGGATCGAGAGGTGAGCGAACGCCGGTATGTGTTCGCTCACCTCCCGATCTACTGAGCCGACCTGTGACAGTCTCATTGTCACAGGTCAGCTAGAACTATGACGTGAGTGGAAATCACTCATCTCATAGTTCTCCTTTAAAGCAGCCCTGAACACGAGCCACAAAAGGGTCCAAATTGCAAACCACTTTCAATCGTCTGGACTTCAAAGGGTTCAATAAATATCACAGTTCATATTCGTCAGGCAACACCTGGCCCTGTGCTGAACCCTAATGCCAACATTGGCGCCATGCTTAGCCATTCACTTACATAGATTCCCTCGATAAGGAGTAATTGGCGCACAGAAGCTGAGATATACCACGTGATACCATAAGGTTTTCTCTTGCATCTTTCACCCATGTGGACTTAGAGAATTAAGAAACACTTACCGGCATATTTATAAAGCAGTGAATCTTTCATATTTGTCAGGCACCACCTCGCTGCGCAACTAACCCTAATGCCAACATTGGCGCTGTGCCTAGCCATTCACTTACTCCTCACCCTGATGAGGAGCTTTGGAGCATTTATCACACAGAAGCTGAGATATAACACATGATGCCCTAAGATTGTCTCTTGCATCTTTCACCCATGTGGACTTATAGAATTAAAGGAGAACTATGGGGTCAGTGTTTTCCCCCAAATTTCCCCTAAGGGTCACCGGGGGGGGGGGCACAAACTAGCGTCCTCCCGTGACCCAAAGCTCAGTATATAGGGAGCTACAGCTCCCTATATACTGAAACCGCCGCAGCCGGGACGGATCCAGACAATACTGTCGAGATCCACCCAGCTGCGTGATTGACAGCTGGCTTTGCCTATCTAGAGGCAGAGCCAGACATACCCGCCCCCTCCCCCGTCCGTTCCACCAGTCAGCGCTGGAGGATCGGACTGTGGAGGGGTGGAATCCCTGAAGGGAGCCATGAGTGACAGTCACAGCTCTCTGCAGGGAGATGATCGAGAAGTGAGCGAGCGACGGTATGTGTTCGCTCACTTCCCGATCTATTGAGCCGACGTGTGACAGTTTCATTGTCACACGTCGGCTCGAACTATGAGGATGGAAGCAGTGAATCTTTTATATTCGTAGGGCACCACTTTGCTGCTCAGTCAACCTTAATGCCAACATTGGCTCCATGCTTAGCCATTCACTTACATAGTTCCCCCCAATAAGGAGCATTTGGCACACAGAAGCTGAGGCATAAGACATAAAGCCATAATATTCACTTGCATCTTCCACCCACGTGGACTTAGAGAGTTAAGAACACTTGGGCATATTTTTTTAAAGCACTGACATTCGCTGTGGGTGAATCTTCCTGGTGCATGTGTTTTAAAAGACAGTGATTGATTTACCTGCAGTGGAATCAGTGCACCTGCAGACCTGCCTTCTGGGTGAGCTCTGGCAGATTGGTATTATCTTGGATCCCCCTTTAATGGTGTCAGATGTTACTCGGCGGTCGTAAAATTTGGCTATATTAAATGAAGGGAGATGAAGATGTCAGTGTTGGCCCGTAAGAAAGGACATGTTGTGTAAGAAAGGACATGTTGTGCGGTTGAATGCCCTGGGCCCTGTGACCGCATCCGCCACTCACACTGCTCTCTATTCTTCTCAGCTGCAGGAAGAACAGATGGATTGTGGGGCCGCGCATCTCCAGCACCCGCTCACCATCAATCGGCCTCTGTCTGCCACCCCGCTCTTCAAGGCTCCCGGACTGACCTCGGTGGCGGTGGCCAACGTTAGCGGCTACACGGTGGCCTTCCTCGGCACGGCTGGCGGGCAGCTTCTGAAGGTAAGGCTTGACATTTATTGGGGTTTGAGTGACCGAAAACTTCTATTCCAGGGCGGCTGCGATTATTTAGTCACTCGAAGCTTTGCTGGAAAGCACAGAGCTCAACTCCAGAGCCCTGCCATGCAATGTATATTTATGCAGCTAGTATAAGTATCTGGATCTGTCTCTACAGTGTCGGCACCAGGGTGGGGGTCACCTGGTGCACCCGCCGCGCATGCATTATGACGTTCATGGTTTGACATCATCACGCATGCGCAGCGATGTACTTAACTCTTGGTGATGGATGCCGGCAAAGAGAGGAGTGGATATTGACTCGGTGGGATCAAGTTTGCCACGGGGTTCTCCTCTCTCGTGTCGCTGTCGGGCTCTCGGTCCATGATCGAGTGCCCAACTTAGGAGATGACAGACAGTCATTTTGGTGTCACCCCCTCTGATGGTGTCACCTGGTGTGGGCTGCACCCCCTGTGCCCTCCTTGTGATGCCACTGTGTCTCTATATTAGCACAGCTGAACTTTCACTGGGGTAGGGAGAGCCAGCACTGTGAGCCAGTCAGACTCTTCTGTGTTGCAACGTTCTGTCTAATGCTGGATGGTTGCTGACAAGAGCAGAGTAGTGAACTCATCAGTGTACCAATGCACCCTGGGGGCGGGTTCATGACCAAGCTTTACTGCTTAACTACAGTAGAGAAAAGTGAGGTCAACGACCTGGCTGGCTCTATACTCTGGTAGGGGTGTCTGAATCACTAAACTGGCTAGTTAGTATTACAAATTTGCTGGCTCATTGAGATTGATCACACATTTGTATTTCAACTGCGTATTTATGTCTGGGGTTGGACTTTAATCCTGGCCATTTGGGACAACCTACCACCAACAGATGTGATTGCTTTTGGTAAGTACTGTTGGTGGTCGGTCACTTTGGTCCATTGGGTCATTTTTGGGACTGAAAGCACATTGAAGTTGTCATGTGTATGTCCTATGTTGGGTGCGACAGGCTCAGCTGTCCTTCTGCATCTCAGAACGACATTGCAAGCAAGGCTGAACGTATCAGCAAAGGAGCCTCATTACAGACACCAAATGCAGAAGAGGTGGGGCTTATTCACATGTGGGTGTGGCTTAGCACATGTGCGCTAGCAGGGTTTAGGTAAGGCTTCCAATCCTATCCAAGGCGCATCCATAATAAAAAAAGCAAAGAGTACCTGTCTCCCCTTTTATAGCACGCCCTCAGAATTGAAGGTCACACTAGGACGGCAGAATCTGCAGATTTGGTTCACAGTCTCACCTTTACCTTGCGAATATGCAAACGCTCACCCACGCCTCTTGCTGTGTATTTTGCAGCGCGTGTAGTTGTCAGCGTTTCCTACATTTCCTGCGAAGGCAAACACGCCGCGCTCTAAATAAAGCCACAATGTCAACACGGCACCTTTTTTTTCTGCAGCAGTAATGTCATTTCTGTGTCAACAGAGTAAGTGCGTCTAATATGTAGATTTATATATTTATACCAAAAGATACAACTTATAACATTTCTTTATTACAGGTATTGATATAGCACCAACAATTTACGCAGCACTTTACAGAGTGCACATTCACATCAGTCCCTGCCCTCAAGGAGCTCACACTCTAAAGGTGGCCATACACCTGCCGATTATCATACGATAATCGCTGGAAATCCCGCGATCGTACGATAATCGCCAGGTGTATAGAAGGCGTGCAAACGTTTCTACTGTAAGGTCGCACGTCTTTTGTCTTAAGGTGGCTATACACTTTACAACCATCGTATAACCAGCCGAAAATCGTACAATTAGACAAAAGACGTGCGACCGTACAGTAGAAACGGTCGCACGTCTTCATTCACACTGCCTGATTCTCGTACAATCGCGGGGTTTCCAGCGATTCTCTGCAGTGCAGTGTATGGGCACCTTTACAAGCATGTTTGAAAACCAGCCGAAAATTGTAAGATTTTCGGCGGGTTTGTGGCCTGCTCGTAAGACAAATGCCGCACAGGCCGGTGTGCGCAAGTGCTCACTGCCCGCTCCGCATTGCAGATGATCGCAAGTACGATCTGCCGGTCCAAGATGGGCAGATGGTACGAGCTTTTAATTAGCTTACAACCATCGCAAGACGCAAGTCTTGCGATGGTTGTAAGTGTATGGCCAGCTGAAGGTCCCTATCTCACATGCATACATACGAGGGCCAATTTAGACAGGAGCCAATTAACCTTCCAGCGTGTCTTTTGGAGTGTGGGAGGAAACCAGAGTACCCGGAGGAAACCCGCACAAGCACAGGGAGAACATGCAAAGTCCTAGCAGATAGTGTCCTGACCAGGATTTGAACCGGGGACCCCCAGTACTACTGTGCTGCAATAGATACAACTTATAACATTTATTTATTAATAAAACCATCGGAAAGGTGAAATAAAAACGAAAAAGAAAGAAAACCGGACTGACTGTGAGCTGCTAGGACTCAGGCTGATCGGCCTCAGAAATTAGTTAATCAATGGTACAGCGCTCTGAGCCTCACGGTGTGATCATCAAAAACCAATATAGTGAAACCAATAATAAAATAAATAAATAAATATAAAGTGTCAAACTGTGTGTTTCTTCAACAACTAACAGTGTGATAAACATATAGATGATGTGTGGCAAACAGTGTGGATCTTTCCTCGAAGGGGAAATTAAACCACAGTCAAAAATTTAAAACTATTGGTATCGAGGAAGCATATCGGTTAAATAGTAAAAAAACCTTGAATCATATAATTATATGGATATAAAATGGAAATAAAATGGAAATAACATTTATTACAGGTATTAATATAGCGCCAACAATTCACACAGCACTTTACATAGTTGCACATTCGCATCAGTCCCTCCCCTCAAGGAGCTTACAATCTAAGGTCCCTATCTCACATGCATACAAGGGCCAATTGAGACAGGAGCCAATTAACCTTCCAGCATGTCTTTGGAGTGTGGGGGGAAACCATAGTACCCGGAGGAAACCCGCACAAGCACAGGGAGAACATGCAAACTCCTTGCAGATAGTGACCTGGGGACCTCAATGCTACTGTGCTGCAATAGATACAACTTATATATTTATAACAATAGATGCAATTTAACGGCTCGCGGTGTCACATGTCCACCCAGATCCCCATCTCTCCTTTCTGTCACTAAACGGAAGCTTTTTCCCCGCTCGCAATAGGCCGCTCGCCGTTTTGTCCTAAAGATTCAGCTGATAAACTTTCTTTTCCTGTAGTTGAGTTTCCTGCTATCGGCTCACATCGCTCCCTGAGCTCACGGTTACTAATCCGATTCGGAGACGACGGGCTGCTTCGTGGGGGACCTCTAACCTCCCGCTAATGGCGTGTAATTGAGCCGTGTTGTCCCGGGAGAGCGTGTGATAATGTGTTAACACGTGGAATAAAAATCCCACCTTCCCCC